ATCCCACCCCACCCCTCCTACCCACCCCTGCCTCCACCCTCACCCCACACCCCGCACTCACCCCTGCCACCCACCTCCCCCCATGGTCCACTGCACGCATCTGGGCCTCCTGGCACGGCCAATCCACCCAGTGCAAACCCCAAGGCCAAGCCAAGCCGGATCAGCACAGTGGTCTGATGAATGGAGAGAGTGAGCTGGGGAACAGGAGCGGCTGGGGAAAACGCAGGAGAGGGACCTTGCACCCTCTCTGCTTTCTCAGTTTTTTCAAAATATATATACACATAGCAATGTCCTCCTCCCCACTTCCTCCCTGCCTTGGGACCCCTCCCCTAACCCCCAGCAGTTGCCATGGGGTTTTCTTCCAGATTCGCAGACCCTTGCCACTCGAAGCCTGGACTCAGGATGCTCCAGTGCTGGGGAGTGGTGAGGGCCTTTTGGAGATCATTGTCCTCTTTTTCTTGTCTTCCTCCTCTCCCCTTTTCCCTGGAGGCCTAGCTCGATGGCCTCAGACCTCTGGGCCAGTGCGAATTCCCTCTCAGCTCTGGCTGGTGGAGAAGGGAAGGCATCCAGAGCTGTAGAGGTGAAGGCTTCCCCAGGGCTCCTCTGGCCGTGTGGGGCTAGGAGAGAGCTCTGTAGAGTTGTGGCCAAACCTCAGTTGGCTTTGCCCTCTCTCTGACCTCAGGGCCTGGCCACACACCTCCATGTGTCTTTCTGCCTGCTGGAGGACATAGACTGTCAGTGCACTCAGTGGGTGGGATCCCGCTTGTGCTGGCCCCCTTTTGGGGCAGTGCTTCCTCTCTTGAGCCAGTCTGTGCCCTCTCTCCAGTAGGCCCCAGCCCAGACCTCTTTGGCTTCAGGAACTTGCCTCGCCCTGCAACGTTCTTATCCTGATCAAAGTCCAGACAGGTTTTGGGGGGGCTCAGGTCTGGGATGAGAAGGGCACTGCCCTCCCTCACCCATATTGCATGCCCCCCCATTCCCTTACACCTACCCCACCTACAACTGAAGACAATGCACTTTACAGATAATGCCCACACACACCTCGCTGGGGCAGGGCACTCAGCATCAGCCCTGGGGAGAGAGGCTCCCAGAGGGCCACCATGAGCCCACGATCTCCTTCTTGAGGCAGAGACAAGCCATCAGAGCCGGGGCCGGGAGCCAAGATGCCTGAGTCCTTCTGTCCGTCAAAATCTCTGCTGCCTCTCCAGCCCTTTTGCAGCCCTGTTTATTTATTATAAATATATTTTTTACAAGCCACAGCTCCTCTTCTTGCCCCGCATATCCAGCTCCTTTCTCAGCTCCTGCCTCCCTCTCCCCTCTCCACCATGGGCTGCAGTACAGACAGACAGATGGACCCTGGCTGTACGAAGGGCCAGGGCCCCTGGGGCTCGGGGGTGGGGGAGCGTGGCAGTGGGAGGGGGCTGTATGGAGAGGAGCTGGGGTTCAGGCATTGTCTTTTTTCCTTCCTGTATATAAGAATGTATATTTGATGCCTCATAAAAAGACCTTGTGCTCATCTCCTGCCTCTGCCTCCTACTTACGCCCCCCCTTCTCTGCTGTGGAGCTCATGGAGAGAGAGGCCTTAGCCCAGGGAGGTAATGCACTAATGGTAGAAGTTCAGGCAACTGGTAGGCGAGATGCTTTGCTTGGGTGGGAGGTGGGACTGAGGGAGTTTTTCCTATTTCGTTTCATATGTAGTCTGTGTGACAGAGTGGCAGGAGTGTAGGATTTGGAGTTGATCCAGTCCACATCCTGGGATTTTCACTTCTAGGCATGTGAACCTGGGAGAGTCACACTGTCTGAGTCTGGGTTTCTGCAATTTAACACTCAGTGATAAGTCACGCCACGTGGAGTTGTGATGATTACATGAGGTAATGAATGTCAAGCAGCCAGGACAGAGCAGGTACTCAGCAAGTTAGTTCCCTTGTCCTTCTTTCACAGGTTGGACACTTCCTTCCATGCTTGTGGCATCTATTCTCACCCTTCCTTGGCCTTGCCCACTCCACATAATGGCTGGTCACATTTCTGTTCTGGGTGGTGTGTGTGTGTGTGTGTGTGTGAGACTTAGGCCAGGAAGGCACAGGGCTAGATATAAGAGTTCCGTATATACTTAGAATGTTAGATAACAAATAGCTGGACTCCCTCCATTTTACAGAGGAGAGGACAGGCCGAGAGAAGGGAAGAATCTTTCCCAATGCCACACAACAAGTCAGGATGGGGTTTCCTGATTTCTAGCCCAGGCCCCTTTTCAGTTTCCCAAACTGCTTCCCTATGAAACAGACAATGTTTGTAGCACCACTGATTATAGCCTGGATCTCAGCCTAGCACAGGAGGGATGGGGCAGAGCAATGGCCCTTGTTTAGGGTCAGCACGGCCCCCAGAAGCAGCATTCAGTCAATATTTTGCTGCCTTCCTAGAATCTGGAGTGGCCCCTAAGAGGAAATGGTTTGGACGGCTTCACTCTTCAGCAGCTTGGACTACCATTTTTGCTTTCTTCTTCATGTGCACATATAAAGGCGTCTCAGGGGAGACAACTGGCGAAAGCAGCAGCTAGGGCCATCTAAGCATTTGATGCCTCCTCACAGACCAGACCTAAGCATCTGAAAAACTTAGAGAGTCCTCAATCAAGTCCAATCAGCACTTTTTTGTTTCTTCCCTGGTTGACCAAGCTGAACTACCTTTGGTTGCTCCGCCTTCTCCCACCTTTGGCTTGCTGGTTGCATCTGGCCAAAGCTCAGCTTTTAGTGCTCAGATCCTGGCTCAGTGACTTGACTGTGCTGCCTTTGGCAAATCACCTAGCCCTTCATAGCCTGGTCTTTCACCTCTAAAATGGGGATAACAATATTGCAGGACAGTTGTTAACAGGTGCGTGCGATGTGCCTATCTCCTGCCAGACACAGTAAGCTGTTCTACAGAAACAAGTACAAACTCCTTGTCTTGGCATTGGAGGTCCTCCATGAGGTGGCCCAGCTGATCTCTGTAGTTCTTATTTCTTGCTCACACTTTGGCTGTCTACTCACTGTTCCCTGAAAGTGCCTGTGTGTACTTTCCAACCTCAGTATTTCATCTGTGACTTTCCCCCTGCTGGATATGCTCCTTGCAACATCCCTGATGATTGTCCCACTCTTGCAAGATGGGCTTAAAGGACCCATCCTTCACAAAATGTGCCCCTTACCCCATTCTCTGAGATCCCTCATGTCATTCATCATCCATCTTCCCCATCAGGCCATAAGTGGCTTGAGAGTGACACTGGTCTGCATCATCTCCATCTGTAGTATTGCCCAGCACAGTGCTTGGCAAAGCACAGATGTCACTAAAATTTTGTTGATCAAATGAATGAATGAATAGTTCTTTCTAAGCTAAGTCTTAGAGTAAGGTATCTTTGCCTTGGTTGATTTATTGATTGATGCAACCTGTGTACCAAGCTTTTGGGCCCCTCTGGGACCTACTTGCTCATGCTTCCTTCTGCTTTCCTAAGTTCTCCTCCTCCCATCCTCATTGCAGTCCCAACACTGGGATGTCCCTGTCCCCACCCTGTTCCTCTCCCCAGAGGCTCACTGTTCAGACTGTGAAGGGGTAGTTCATCTCCTCACCTCCCCATTTTTTTTTTTTTTTTTTTTTTAAA